GGCGTACTCCTAAAATGTGTCCTACATTTGAATCCTTGTGTAGCCATGGCTGGGAATTTGCTCGATAATTGTTCGATGCATGTGTGACTGAAAATTATACGTATTCTGATGATGAATTATGAGAGGTTTTAAAAAACTCGACATCATTCTAGTCTCTTTAGAGCCATATCAACAAATTTTTAGATAATTATCCTATACAGGTGGTACAGGGAATTGTACGTGTTCACCCAGTAGTGATTTATAAAATGCCCTAAAAGGCTCGATAACATCATTATCAGAAGGGAAGGGAAAAAATAATAATAATAAAAAAAAATAAAAATAAAAAATAAAAATTACCTTAGATTAGTTAGCTAGATGAAGCAGCTTGAATTGGCGGACTAAAAATACTTGGTTTTTTTTTTTTTTTTTTTTTTTTTTCCCGAATGGTAAAACAAATACATATAGGGTGTATTCGGTTACATGGAAGTCGACTTTTGGAATTGAAATTGATAAAATTTGAAAAAAATAACTAAAAAAATTAAACCAAAATTATTTTAAATTTCACCGATTCTAATTCCGATATCAATTCTAATACTTTAATTTCATATAACGGAACACACCCATATTCTTTTGCCCACATCCAAACTCCTCCCTCCTTTTTAAGGATAGAAAAGTTATACCCCAGGCCAAATGCCCTTACAAATACTAAGGTCCCACAGACAATGTTTAAGCAAGATGAAATGGTTTGGACCTTTCCCTATAAATTTTCCACCCTGGAGACTCTGATCACTAAAGTCCAAGTAAAGATTCCCAACTCCACCAGAAATTACTCCGAGATTGGTCATCAATTATCAACTATCATTCCCTCTTGGATGAAAAAGGGTAAATTCATTTTTTTTCTTTATTCAAATATGATTAGTATCATTTTTATTTTCTTCATTAATCAATCAAATACATGATTATCATTATTCTCTTATTATTATTTTTTTCTCTCTTAACTAATTTTATTCTCTTTTTTTATTTTCTTTTTCACGTACCAAACATAGCCTAACAAATTATAAAATATTTATAAATAAAGTTTTTTTTTGTGCAAAATAACACTATAAATTAGTTTTTCCCCATAGTAGTGCATTTTGTATTTTAATGTACTCCAAGTTTAAACCTGAAAATGAAATAAAGTATGTTTAATCTGAAAAATCTCTTTTAGATGTATTTGATATATATATATATATATAGTACTTTAAATCGGAAGAATTTTGGCTTAGAAGACTTTTATTTAAAGCTAACTTTTTCAAAGTGGAAGTAAGAAATTTGTAGAAAGAGAGTGTTTACGAAAACATAATATTTATGAAAAACGCTTTGCATGTTATGTCACAACACACTATTTGATTTATCAGAGACAACACCATTTTTAATAGATTTACATTAAATAAATAAATAAATTGTCATAAGCTACAACAATGCCAAACCCGTCTGTAGATATGACTAATGTCACATGTTGGTGTTTTACGGTTCGATCTAAAAATTTAAATTTTTTTAGATAGTATTAACATTTAACCTTATCCCAAGACCCTTTCAATCGGATCCGGATTTAGGTCCGGATCCGGATCCACACCATGCACAGAACCTCCTACTGAAACTATAAAACTTAGCAATGCACCTGAATTATGTGATGATCAATACAATGCAGCATGCTAAACAAGTGTGAAAAGGTCTAATACAACTATAAAAAGACATTAATGCCCAACCAAACTGTTGTGGGGTGCTACTGGAGGACTCACTCTGCTTAGGCTGGAAACCCTGGAGCCCAGGCAACCGGGTGATCAAAAATGGAAAGGGCAGCTCCCAAGTTGATGAAAGCACTAAAGTGGCCCAGAACTGGAGCATCATGCCCCAAATGGGATGAGAATACTTAGGAAGCATGTATACTTTTAAGAAAGTAACGTACCATATCGGATACATATTAGATATCGATACTTTATGAATATTCATGAATACGTGTCCGATACTTTATGGATATTCACGAATACGTGTCCGATACTTCTTAAAAATATCCATAATTTTATAATACATATATTAATTTATAACACGTATCCGATACTTCTCAATCTCATATACTTCTTAGGTATTTCGACTGCGTATTCGACACTTTTTAGACACTTCTTAACACATTTTCTATAAGTTTGAACATTAAAATGTAACTTTTTCAACAATAATAACACAGTATAATTGTTAAGAAATGTTCGATTTTTATTAAGTGATAATTAGAGACGCTTGTTTCTTGTGTTGTAAAACAAACTTTTATGTTATATATTAATGATTGCATTTAGAATCGTAATATTTTTAAAAAAAATTTGACCAAAAATTAATTTTTATATATATAAAAAAATTAAAATTATTAAAGATTGTATTGTCGTATACCTGTATCTTTTTTTTTTTTTTTAAGATTTATCGTATCATGGCATTCATATCGTGTCGTATTTATATTTCGTAATCGTATATGTGTTTCCTAGTCCCCTACTCAAATTTGTAATATTTTCGACGTAATTGGCTAATCTTGCCCATCTGTCCACTCTAATGACGAGAGACTCGGTACCCAACCTAGACACTTTCGTATAGGTATATGACGTCACAATCGATCAAGAATTCGACTACTCTGGTACCTTTAAATGGAACTAGCACCCAATTTAATGTGGGATCTCTTCACTCATTTCATTTCAATCATTTTTTCAACAAGCATAATTTAATATTAGTTCTTTTAGGCCACAGTTAGTTGGCCTAATCATCTCTAACTCTAATGTGTTGTCGTCACTCGCAGAAGATCACGTGACAGGTCACATGGGCATGCAAACCATACTCATTGCCATTATGAAAATCCGGTTTCGTGCGAGCATGTTCCAAAATTCCAAATGTTTTGTGTGGGCCATAGTAGGCGCCGTGTGGGACCCAGTAGAGGGGACCTTTTTTCACGTGATTGGCACGGAACGGCGTGATTTAGGGCATTGATTGAGAAGATTGATGTCCTTACGTGGACAATTACCCAATTCTGTAAATAGTAGTATAAACAAATATTGATATCTTTATGGACAATGGACAATTCTCTGTCTTTCTCTTTAACCCAAAAGTATACATTTCGACAATTTTAATTGACCCACGTAAGAGTGGGCATATGGGGTTATTATTATTATTGTTTTTAATTACCTTGTTTTAATATTCACTCTGAAAAAAAAAAGAGTTTTGACTTATTCAACTGCTTATTGTCTTTTTCCTTTCCCTTTAACTGGTCACTATACTTTTCTTTTTTTATTCTCTCTTTGTTATTTTTTTCTCATCATTACCAAACTCAATCCAATAGAAATACCGTGACAATCGACATTATGAATTCTAATAAAATTACAGTAGCACATTAGTTAGTTTGGTGACGATTGTCTTCTTCAAGGTTATTTTCATCATATGAGAAAAAAAAGGAAAATGCAATGACCGGTTAAAAGGAAAGAAAAAAGGCTAATGTTGTTTTTATCAGATGAGAAAAAAAAAAAAAGAAATTGTAGTGACCGGTTAAAGGGAAAGGAAAAAGGCAATAAGCGGTTCAATAAGTCAAAACTCTTTTTCCAAAGTGTGTGTCTTAAAACAAGATAATTAAAGAAAAGAAAAATAACCTCATGTGCCCATTCTTACGTGGGCCAATTAAAATTGTCAACAGTCGAATATGTCTACTGTTGCTAGCATAGCTCTATATACATTTTTATTAAACAAATGTTGCAAAATATATTTCTATTAATGGTATGTAAAAATAAATTGTGGTTATCATGTATAATTTTAAAAGGGAGGATTAAAAGTTAGATTTTTAAAACTTTGTAATGGTAAAAAAATAAAAGATATATAGCGTGTTGGGAATGTCACATCATTGATAGACACAGTTAATAAAAAATACATTATGAAATTGATACATCATTGGTATGCACAGTTAACAAAAATGTATTATTTTATGAAATTTATTTCACTTATTAATATATTGATTTTAAAAGGTATTTTCAACTAATTAATATATGAAAAATGATTCATGGATTTACAGTGAATTGTTAGACTTACTCTTTTAATTGGTCAATTATGTAATAAATAAGAAAGTAAATCCCTCACTTAGTTATATTTGGTATAAATATAAAATAACAAATTAAAAATTATTTGGTTAGACAATTCACTCCACTTAGTTATATTTAGTATAAATAAAAAATAAAAAATTATTTCATTAGACAATTCACTGTAAATATTCGGTCTAAATATCATTACTCTTGATATATTGATATTCATTAGTTAGACATCCAATACTCGTAAAGAATAAACGCAGTTAGTTTGTCAAAGTAAGGTATTTGTTTTTGGGCTGGGCCTGTTCCTTGCTTCTGTTTCTGCCTATTGGGGTTTTTTGCCAGAGTATGGTTTAGTTCGGATAAAGGCCCATCTAAAAAATAAAAAAAAATTTGGAGTGCCAGGCCCATCTTTTAATTACCTATTTATATTTATACAATTGCTTAATCTTTGGGATATATATATATATATATATATATATATGGACTAGTACAACATTTATATATTACTATATGAAAGGATAATGACTTTAAATCTAAAGGGATTATAAAAGGATGAAAGTGAAGTCAAGTAGACTACAATATGGACTAGTTCAACATGCTATAGGTATTATTATTAAAATATTTCTCCGACTTATTCACTTTTAGTATTAAAATATACTAGTATAAATTATTGATTTTGAGCAACATTACATCCAATGATTTGTTTTGTGTTGGTTGGAAGGATGGAAAAGAGGAAGAATGAAAGATACTTTCATTGTTTTAAATATGGATTGGTTGGAAGAAAGGAAATGTAGCGCGGAAGTAACTATTCCTCCTTACCCCGTGTTTTTTCATCCATCCAAAATTGGACAAAGGAAAAGAGGAAAAGAAAAAAGCCTTCATTTATTTACAAAATCACTTTGTTATTAAAATAATTTAAATACTTTCATTTCCTTCTAATTGAGAGGAAAAAAATTTAAAAAGCATCAACTCATTCATCCTTTCTATTATCCATTTCATTCAACCAAACAAAAAATGAGAAAAACACATTCTCTTTCCTAAGAAAGGGTTATCCCTCTCTCCCCCTCTCCATCCATTCGAATTCTGTATTTCAATATGAGAACTCAATTCTCGAGTATTGAGTTGTGAGGATGGGAGCAAGAGTATGTGCAGAGTGTCAAAACTAGAGTACACTCGGAGCGTGAGAGCGACACTCATTGAGAAGAATTGTATGACTTAGGTTTTACACTTATTGCGATAACAATTTCAAGCAAGGACAGAAAACAACAGCTGAAACAAAAAAAAAAAAAAAAAAAAAAAAAAAAAAAAAAAAAAAAAAAACACTCAGAAAGGACATATGTTGAAGTAATCATCTTTGATCTGATGCCATGTCCCTAAAAATTACAAAGAATGTATGTGGATTCCTTCTATTATAAACATCCAAATTCAGAAAGAAAGAGGATAAACAATGAATGAATTCATATCGAACTCAAGGCCCTGATCCATCTTTTCTAACAAGTTGCTGGAGAAAAACACAACTTAAACTAGAAACTAAACAGGGCTTAATCTGTGCAAGTATAAGGTATGAGATTGCGGCAACATTCGACAAACATCAAGGGAACTGAAATGACCCTCCAATTTGAGAATTACCTGATGGAGGGTTGATAGCAACCCAAAGTAGGGATATAGTGATAGCGATAAGGCCGGACCAGACGTACACAATTGTGGGGGTCCTCCCTCGCCTTCCCATAAGCCCTTTCGCGAAAGGGTAAAGATGAGCCAGAACCCAGAAGCTGAAGAACACTCCGCCCAACAAGCGACTCCATTGTGGTATAGTGCTGTATATGGTTCTGCTAAAACCAACCGCGATTCCAATCAAGTTTGTCATAATGATTACAATTGGCGGTATCATCAGGGACGACCATTTGATGATATACAGATCCACGAATTCATCATCAACATCTTCACCAGCTGACTTTGATGTCAGGGTAAACGAGATTTCAATCCCGGCAATCACCTTCAGTAGACCCTGGAGCACGGCAGCAAGATGGGCACTCGTGCCTCCAATTAACCAGAATTGCTCATTTCGCCACCACTCTTCAAGTGCAATGCCGGACCACTTGATCTCGAGCACGGCTAGCATGCAAAGAGACAAGGTGAGGACTAGGAGGTAGGAAAGGAAGGTTACGTTCAGAGTCTGGACGATGAACTGTCCGGAGAATAGGGAAAGTGCTGGAAGGAAGCAGTAAACAATGAGAAAAATGGATGTGAATGGATAAATACCAACATTGAGGTAAGCAATCCTCTGTAAAAACTTCATCTTAGGACTAGCTAAAAGAGCATTATTGCGAGAGAAGAATATCTCAACAGAACCGGTGGCCCACCGGAGGACCTGATGGAGCCTATCGGTCATGTTAATTGGAGCAGTCCCACGAAAGGCATCCCTTTTGGTCACACAATAGATAGATCTCCATCCTCGATTGTGCATTCTATACCCTGTCACCACATCTTCAGTTACGGATCCATAAATCCATCCAACGCGACTGCCCCATTCGGTTTTGTCTTCATACCAGCATGAGATAACACCAATTGCTTCAGCAACTGTCGACGCATCAAGAAGCTCCCGAGGAATGGTAAGAGCACCAGGAGGGCGTCCATTCTTCACTGCAGGGTGATCAGCAAGTGGTCGGCCTTGGAATTCGGCCACGGGGATTGAATCAAGAAGAAAAGTTGAGTTCCCAAACTTTTTAGGAATGAGAGAGAGGGTCATTTCCTCATCATCAGAATCTCCCATTCTAAGTGATCTGTTATCTTCAGGAGCAGAAGTGACCGCTGCGGACTTTCTGGGACGAGAAAAGCAACAACTGCAGCAACTAGAATGGTATTCTTTTGACCGGGGCGGATCAAAACCATAAATGGCAGTCCTGCGGAAGAGGCATCCAGTACCGACATAAACCGGACCCTGCAGCCCATCAAGGGCACGCATGTTCACATCAAAGAAAACTGTGTTGTGATTGGCATAACGATCAGATGGATCAATTCCTTCGAATCTCTGAGGAAACTGGACATAACAAATTCGGTCACCACCGCGGTCCATCATAAAACACATGCCTTCTCTTATTGCCCGGGAATTGTAAATGTAATGGTCACAGTCAAGGTTAAGAATAAAGGGACCATTGGACATGATTGCTGAGGCTCGAACCAAGGCATTCATAGCCCCAGCCTTCTTGTTGTGATCATAGCCAGGGCGTTTTTCACGAGATACATAAACCAGCAAAGGAAGACGAATGTCAACTTCTGTCAGATCAATAGGATTGGTTTCCCCTGCTGTGCCACAAAGTGGTTCATCACTAGGTGGTTTCAACATCACCTGCATTTTATAGAACCACGTTGCTAGTCAGCTAAACTCACCACCATACAGAAACCAAATTACGCCTGCATTTAGCTCACAAAACATCTAAGTACACAAAAAAATATATATTGGATAAAGACAAGCTACAACACCATTGAGAAAGTACAAGAAGAGACAAAAAATTAAAAAATATTTAATCCACTTATTTGTTATTAACAGATGACAGAAGGTCTCAAACCTGCTTCCAGATAGACAGCATATCCGGGTGAGAAGGACCATCCTACGTAAGCCACCATTAGTGGAGGGTACACACGTATAGCAGAATAAAGGTCACTAATCTAGAGTTCCTGGGCCTAGTAATAGCCTTATAATCTGTTTTAAGCTATCCACTGTATTTAAAGTGCAGATTTTGCATTCAAGGTCCTCTAGGACTCGATATCTGATTTAAAAAACAATTTCTTAAAAGATACATAAGAAGTTAACACAGAATATAAACTTTTCGGGAAAACACTTATAAGATAATGATTTGATTTTAATATACACCATGCTAACATTTGAATATGTATGGTGCAATAAATATGACATATCTCATACTTTGCTCGATCAGGTTCAAAAAATAAGACCAATACCCATAGTTGCTTGCAATTTTATAAGATGGAACACTTAAAAGGTCATTATAACAATTTAACAGATAAAGAAGTTTAGAAAAATCAACTACCTGGAACCAGGTCTACTTATTTGATTCAATATCATGATAGACTCACTAAAAGCAGTAATTAAGGACAATTTCTCTATGTTAGTACCTGTATGATTCCTGCATGATCACCCCTAGAGTGCTCGGGAGCAGAAACAACCCAAGTGCCAGGCCAATGAGTTCCATCTGCCATCCATGTAGCTTTAGGGAGCTTCAAATTTTCCAATGGTTCATCATTGTCATTCTCTCTCTGCAGCTTCATAGCCTTGATTTCCTCTCGAGCATTGTAGGCATCAGAACGGCGCCGGATTGAATCAGGAAGGGCATTGGTCCGAACCTTGAACTCATCATACTCACGCTTTACCCGTCTACGATCCTTGACAAAATCTGGACGCACCCTGTTTTTATAAGGATCTCTCTTCAAATTGAAATAAGATTCTGGGTTCCTCAACTCAATATCATGCTTTCTGCAAAATGGAACCCACATGTTGGCAAAACTTGCAGCTTCCGCCATGGCTTCAAAGGTTAGAAGGGCACCTCCATCATCAGAAACATAACAAGAAAGCTTTTCAACAGGGTAATCAGCCGCTAGAATAGAAAGAATGGTGTTTGCTGTGACAAGAGGTGGCTCTTTCTCTGGATCTGCAGTAGAAACAAATATGTCTACACCTGGAAGATCGGATTTCCCAGTAGGGTTGTTTGGCCTCGGTGTTTCAAACTTCTCTTTCAAAATATTTAGGTCAGTAGCTCGGTTAACAGGGCATAACTTGGGAAGCTGGTCAAGCAGCCAAGAGAAGGCAAACCAAATCTCACACACAATTGACATAAACCATAGCCATATTGCGTCATCATTGGGGTGGCTGATTCTCCATGCAAGAAATAATCCAAGAACAGCTACCCGAACTAAGATTAGGAGCCTGAATGCACATTGGAGAAAAACAAAGAATAAATTTCTGACAATAGTAGACAAGGTTGTGAAATTTCTTAATTTAGTGTCACAACATCTCACTATGAATCGAAAATTCGATAACACTGTACAAAGCCAGACAGAAATGCTTCAAAATCTATTGATATTATTCTGGAACTAGCCTAATGTATCTAATCAAGTGCGTTACTTCACATAAGTAAAATCAATTTATACCAAGATTCAAGAGAAATTTAGACTTGGCATCCCCAGAGCGGAGGTGAGGTTTGAGCCTCATAATGGGGCCATTGTATGTGTGTGTGTGGGTGGGTATCTGTGTGAGTATTTACCCAACCAAAACAATAAAACTTGAAAAAAAATTAAAAAGAGGATTTTTATTAACACAGCTATAAGAAGACACAATAATATAAATGAAACAATGTAGGATAGACACAACAATCCCACACTGTCATTTCTGGTTAAATCACTCCCAAAAAAAATATTACTATAACGTAAATGACAACCTTTACACCATTTTTTGCTAAAAAAATAAGAATAATTACATGTTATGTTTTCTCTAAATAACATTATCCACAATATGTAAAAATTATTGCCTTTGACTATTAGAAACACATATTGACTATTTAAATGAACTAATTAGACAATGAGGAAAACAGTGGAACATGATCATGTCAAAGTTGTTACTACCACAGACCTAAAATAAGTATTATCTAACAAAAGCATGTCAGTATGTCAGACACAGAGGATATGTAAAGTGTAATCTCTGAATCAGCATAGGATACATCTTTGTCTCAAGAGTATATATAACAACATTGTTACTACATAAATTATTAAGGCAACAATTAACACCACAAGTGTCATTTGACTGTTGTATATAAACAATGGATCAAGTATCATCATACATTATTACTACAAGGGTTAGATATATCAAGCATAAATGGACTGTATTTCCAATGATTGTATAAGTTGCAGCCCAGCAGCCCAGAAATAGAACGACCAATTGAGAGATCTGAGTAAAGAAATATAATTCCTCTTGCGAAACACTAAATCTATTTTTTCTGATGTACAGCCGGGAACGGGAACCTTCCCGTCTCAATCATACTAATATGCTGCCTTGCAGTAATATGACAAGTAAAAAATAAAATATTCCAAACACTAAGAAGAAACAAATGCATTGATATTTGATAACAGTTAGGCCCAAAGTTTCATTGGGTTTCTATGTTCCAGAACAAAGAAGATAACAGGCTATATTTATTAACCTAAAGCAACAGCAGATAAAAGATCATGGTAAGCGATCATACCGATATGGGCTAATAACAGCAGCAGATATCTTCAGCTTGCGAGTGAGGGGCCTCCATGGCTTGCTGAGAAGTTCTGAAGGCTCACCAACCCCATCATCTTTTCCGTTCTCAATTCCGTCATTCTTCGGCCATATGGCATTTCCATAACCATAAGTCCCCTTTGTCTCAAACAACCATCGGTTATGATCAAAATCTCCCGCCTGGCTTCTCTTGAATGTCGACTTTGATGTCGACTTCATTAATGACAACCTCCTCTCCATCTTCGACGTCCCCACATTGGATGGCAGAGGTAGAGGCCCTCTATTATCTACAGCATTCTCATCCAAATCTGTGGCCTTGTAAGGCTCTTTACATCCCTGACAAATCGCATCACCAGTTTTCACAGCATCAACATAACAATCCCTGCATATCTTGAAATCACATTCACACGGGAGTATATCTCCACCGCGCTCATCACTCATCACCTTCCCATCACAACCCTGTATAGCACACAAAGACCCTTTTGCACCTGCCATCTGGGGATGGCTAGTTCCGGACTCAATCACCTTATCCATCAAATGGGCACGAGTAAGGTTATTAAACCCACCAGTAAATAGAGAACTCGACACATACTGCTCCTCAACCCTCTGGGAAATGGATCGATCCATAGGTTGATCCATAGGTTGATTATCGGGTGTAAGCGGGATTTGCACCGTGTAATTGTGGAAACCGCTGGTAGTACTATCCGTATCATCTCCCGAATAGTTGACATATCTTCCAGATGTAGTCCTCCTCCCATAAGTCACTTTGGGAGGATATAAATCACCAGCACCGGAACTATTTGAAGCCATGCCCCCTTGTGGTTCCGGGGGATTGAACTATCTTGTCAATTTGTATAAGAGAATATATATTACCAGAACCTGAAATTTCAGAGGAAAACAAAAATGAAGAACTCTTATCAGCAAAATTGTTACAGATACCAAAGTCAATATTTCAAAAAAGTTCAATTTCCAATCCTCAAACTCTCTTGTTCTACAATTATGCTGTAAGCTAATATTTTATCCTAAATGCAAAGTGAGACTCTATTGAGAAATTTTGAAATTGGAATAAGGACACATTTTTTGGGCAGATCAAAAGAACAAAAATCCTGATAAAACCCTCTCCCTTTCTCTAGAATCTTTTCCTCATATTTACTCCTCTCCCCCTCTCTCACACACACACTAAAATTCTCAATATGAAATCAGAAAAGGCTGCTTTTGCACCTAAAAGCACAACTTTTTCCCACCAAAACACAACTAAAGTCTAAAATGGTTCAAATACAGTATAAAGCAATCAAAAGGGTACCTATAATCTCGAGATGCACACACGAAGGTTATCAAGCACCATTTTAACAACCCAAACTTTCCCGAGCACCAAACAGAGCAAAAAACACAAGAAAATCGCAGATAAACAAACACCCAGAGACTTCTTCTTCACATATAAGACGTATCTGCTACACTAACATACAATATAAACAAATCACCATACTCGTTTACTAATCCTTAAGCAATAATAAAATAATAAAAATAACACTAAACGGCTTCAGATAACTTGTATAGAACATCAGAAACAGATATATATATATATATACACACACACACACAGACACAAACAAATAAGTGTATGTATGAGTATGTTTTTCACAACAGTCTCAAATCTTTATTGGCAGTTATATCTGAGATGGGACCAAGTCTCTCAAATTTTTAAAAGCTTTAATTTTTATGATAATGACGCAATAGACAATACTCTCTCTCTCTCTCTGTAGAATTAAAAAGCAGAGACCAAATACAAACCTTCAAAAACTCAGCTGAAAGTCAGAAAACAGAGCCCTTGGATCATAGCCAAATCGCTTCAAATTCACTTGACCGCCGGCAATCCAACAGACAAGCCAAACCCCATACATATATATATATATATGTATATGTATTTATGTGATTTTATATATAGTATATAGTACAATGAGAATGTTGAAAATTATAGAGGAATTTGATATGGAATGTTTCCTTGGATTTTTGCTTATATTTTTCGTACAAGTCGATGCAGAGAGAGAGACTGGAGAGAGAGAGTGTTTGAGAGGGCGGAAAGTTGGGTATTTAAAGGTCATTTCAGGAATTTAGGGGGTCGGCACTCGGTTAGGGACACGGTTCCAGAGCTGTGGTTCTCTGCGGTTGAAACCTTTCGAGATCACTACAATCTTCTTTTCTCTCATTAATTTGGAGAAAATAAGGAAATAATTTTTTTGTGAACAATTTAGAAGTTTTTTTTAGGAGGAAAAGGAAATTTTTGAGAGAAAATTACTTATCTTAACCACCTAATTTTTTTATAGAAACTTTCTAAAAATAAAAAACATAGAACGAATTTGATTTTTTGAGAATATTTTATGAACTTACAATAATGCCCTTATAATTTTATGGTAAGATTCATCATTCATGGTAATTTTTTTTTTTTTTCCCTAGTTTTCATTCATGGTATTCAAATCATAAAATTGTGAATTTTCATAATTTTTCTTTGAAATTTTTTGTAATAATCAAATACACTAGGAAAAATTTTTCTACTTCTTTTTATTTTCGTTTTTTTGAGTTTTATAACAAATACTTTTTTCAATTTGTTTTGTGTAATTATAATATTTTTTAGCATTAAAATTCATATGAATAATAACCTAACAAAATTGTAATTCATAAAAAACTTATGAGAATATATATGAATTTAGAGCTGTAGGATAAGTACAACATCTTACAATATGGCTAAATATTAGTACTTATAAGTATTTTTTATTATTATTATTGGCAAGAAACGTGCCCACCACTTACACATTTAATTCATTCATTTGGTGACTCGAACCCTTGTCATTCACTTTGAGAGATAGAGGATATATCCCTGGACTACAAAGCCTTGATCAGTATTATAGTACTTATAGGAGATAAAAGTTTATTGATAATAATTTTTTTGAATTAAAAAGTTCAATATAAAAAATAAAAAAATTAAAAAAAAGATTGAATAGAGTCGAATATTTACAGATATTTGCCTATTTTAGACACTTAATATAAAGGATAAAAAGTCTATTGATTTTTTTTTTTTTTTTTTTTTTCTCTTTTGCCTTTTTAATTCCTAACCCGTAGGCACCAACAAAAATAAAGGTAGTTTTAACTCAAAAAAAAAAGTTTTAAAAAAAGGGTTGAGGTAAACTATATTCAATGTAAATTGATTTAAGATTGATTGGAATTGAGTCAACTTTTAATTGATTCTTATTTCTTATTGAAATACCAATTGAGACCCCAAAAATATATATATATACTAAACTAGCCAACTTATACAAGTTTGATTTGTGTTGATTCATTGATTATATAAATATTGTATTTAATATGTCAATATTGTATTTAATATATACATACATATATATATATATATATATATATATATATATGATAGCTCATATTTTACAGAATGTTTTAATTGGCAGTTGCAAATATCAATTGCAATTGTCGGTTGCAGAGAATCATTCACTTCCCCGTTCATTCCGATGGACTTTGTGTGTTCACACCAGCTAAGTTCATTGATTTTTTGAAATTTCAATTCCAATAATGCCCTTAAATTCTCTTCAAATTTACGGTACTACCACTGGAAGTTTTAAATTTTAATTTTAATATCAATTAAGAAGAAAATCACGAGGAATTTAATGTTTTTAGGCATTTTATCGCGTGACTATTCAATTTGATTCATCGAATAAAATACTCTTTATGATATTTTAGTTCTGGTACATGACAAGTCATCTTATACATCAATTTATTTTTTTATTTTTTATTATTTATTTATTTATTTATTTTTTCGGAATCTTATACATCAAATGGAGATGGTCTTTTTCGTGGGTTTTTTTTAATGAGATTCATTTCATTTAGTATATTTGATGGTTTAATTGATGGTCATCACATTTAATTTTTTACAAATTTCACACATGACATATTTATTTCATTATGTCATCAACTCTCACTCTTAATACCAGAGCATCTCCAGCAATATGTTAAAACAGTCTTTTATATAAAATATACATTGTTACCTATAATGTGTAAATTTTTTTTTTTTTACCTCCAACAGTCTCTTAAAAGGCATCTTCAACCGTTGTGTTTATATATATATTTTTAAATCTGCTCTGTCATAATAAAAATAAATAAAAAATTTAGATTATTTATTTTTACCTCCAGTGGTTATTTTATACATTTTATGTAAAAATATATCTCTCAATAACAACCCAACAGTGTCATGTCTGGATCTCACATAATTTTTACAAACCTACTTAATATAAAGCTAATTAGTTAATGTAATGAAAAAGATGAAAGAGAAATGAAATATGTAGATATAACTATGTAAAAAGGTTGTATAAAATACACAATAATTTTATACATTGTTGACGTGGCAATATATCTTAGAGCATCTCCAGTAGTTTGTTAAAATACTCTTTTATGTAAAATATACACGGTCACGTATGATGTTTCCTTTCTCCTCTCTCTTTTTCTTTCCAATATCTAGTAGGTTTGTAAAAATTATGTGGGATCTAGACATGACATTGATTAATTGATTGACATTATACATGGCAGTGTATATTTTACATAAAAGAATATTTTAACAAACGGCTGGAGATGCTCTTCATCAATGTGTAAAATTGTTATTTATTTTATACAATCTTTTTACATAGCCACATCAGCATATTTCCTTTCTCTTTTCTCTTTCTTATTCCATTAATGAATCAACCTATATTAAGTAGTTTTATAAAAATTATGTGAAGTCCATACATAACACGAGTTAGTTGTTATTGGGAATATATTTTTACACAAAAAGGTATAAAACAACTTTAAAACTAAAAATAATTAATCTAAATTTTTTTATGTAAATCCATTATGACACATCAGAATTACACAAATATATATATATACACACACATACAACGATTGAAAATGCTTTAAGTCAATTGAGATTTTATTCTGATTTTATTTTTATTTTTTATTTTAGGAGGAAAAAATACAATAGTACTGTAATACTATTTCTTATGTGTCCATCTCCCGCTGATATTTGAAAAATTGTGAACTTGCCGACACCTTACGGAGTAGTTGAATGTTGAAGTTTATATGATTGTTGTTCTTTCAATAAAAGTATAATTATACAAAAATTAATGATCGACCTAATAAACTTTTAATCTTCTAATAAACTATTAAATGTCATTGTGAGTTTGTAACTTAGTAGTACTTTATCACTTTTCATTACGGATAAAGGAGTCATTTGTTTGTACCCATTTTTTTTTTTTATGTTTAATTGTCGTAAAATATTTATAAAGGAAAAAATTATTAAAATTTAACAAAAATAATTTATTAGTTACTTTTTTGCAAGTTATTTTACACGTATCACTTGATAGACTCCACCTAAACTTTTGTCAAACACAGATGAAAATAAATAAATAAATATATATATATATATACAAACACAGATGAAAATAAATAAATAAATATATATATATATATATATATATATATGTATATTACCTAAAAAAAGAAAAATTACTTCGAAACAAACAGAGCATCTATGTCAAAGTTTTTGTGGCCTCATAGGTGCAAAATTGAGTGTGGGCTTTTTTTTGTCAATGTTAAAAACTCAAATAACATTTTTTAAGTTCCAAAATTCTAATTAATCGAACGTTTTGCTTTCCCATTTAACATATCAACAACTCATTAAATCTATGCCAAGGTTTAAAAAAAAATTAAAAAAAAAAAAAAAACCCTCAAATAGTAGTTAGAGTTCCAAAATTGAACTTAGGTCAAAGTCCAAAGTTTCTAATTAATCCATGACAATTTTATTTTTCATTTTTTAAAAAATCAAGTGGA